AGTCTTGCTCTGTCACCCAGGCTGAAGTGCAGTGGCGCAATATCAGCTCACGTAACCTCTGCCTCCCGGGTTCAAGCAATTCTACTGCCTCAGCCTTCTGAGTACCTGGGATTACAGGCACGCACCACCACACTCAGCTAATTTTTATATTTTTAATAGAGATGGGGTTTCTCCATGCTGGACAGGCTGGTCTCAAACTCTTGGCCTCAGGTGATCCACCTGCTTCAGCCTCCCAAAGTCCTAGGATTACAGGCATGAGCCACTGTGCCCAGCCGTCTTTTGATACTTCTAATATATTGCCTTAAGTGAAATATTTTCACCTAATAAATATTAATAAATTCATCAACATGCATTTAAGTGCTTCAATGACTGAGCTGTAACAGAATTAGTTTGGTACCATATTCTCTGTTATTTGGTATTCTATGCCCTCAGGCTAAGACAATAGAAAAAAGTATACAATTCTGCCATACTCTGTTTTGTAGATACTTAATAAGTTTTATTGAAATAAATATAAACCACAAAGATAAATTTTATCTGCAGTTAACCCCAATTTCTTAATATGCCAATTAATTTTATGGCCTTTACATAAGATCAGAAAAGTTTTTCTGCTATTAGTTTTTAAAAGTTGCTACAGTATGGGTACAGTGGCTCATGCCTGAAATTCCAGCACTTCAGAGGCCAAGGTGGGAGAATCCCTTGAGCCCAGGAGCTCAAGACTAGCCTAGGCAACACAGTGAGACCTCGTCTCTACAAAAAGTTGTTTTAAATTAGCTGGGCCTGGTGGTGTGCAGCTGTGGTTCCAGCTACTTAGGGGAGCTGAGGTGGGAGGATTGCCTGAGCTCAGGAGGTTGAGGCTACAGTGAGCCATGATAGTGCCACTGCACTCCAGCCTGGGTGACAGAGTGAGAGCTTGTCTCAAAAAAAAAATCCCCAAATCCCAAAACCCAAAAAAGTTGCTACAATTAATAGTTCTTAGTAGAATCAATAAAATTAATAAAAGTAAGGGAAAGGAGAAAAGGCTTTAGATCAGAAGTCAGCAACTTTTTTCTGTAAAAAGCCAACTGGTAACTATATTAGGCTTTCCGGGCCCTGCAGTCTTTGTCACAGCCACTGAACTCTACTGTCGTAGTGCAAGGACAGCCACAGAGAATATGTAAACAAATGTGAGCACGGTTATTCAAAAAAAGGATTCAAAACCAGACTTTGAGCCAGGTGTGGTGGCTCACGCCTGTAATCCCAGCACTTTGGGAGGCAGAGGCAGTCGGATTATTTGAGGTCAGGAGTTCGAGACCAGCCTGGCCAATGCGGTGAAACCCCCGTCTCTACTAAAATACAAAAATCAGCTGGGCTTGGTGGTGGGCACCTGTAATCCCAGCTACTCAGGAGGCTAGGGTAGAAGAATTGCTTGAACCCAGGAGGCGGAGGTTGCAGTGAGCTGAGATCTTGCCACTTTACCCTAGCCTGGGCAAGAGTGAGACTCCCTCTCAAGAAAACAAACAAACAAAAGCAAAAACAAAAAACACAGGGTTTGGGCTAGGTTTGGCCATGGGACTTAGTGGGCCGATTCCCACTCTAAATTAGTGGCCGGCAGCCCTTCTGTGCAGCAGAATCACCTGGAAACCATTTCTAAACTACCATTGGATATTCTTTATTGGTTTGTTCTAAAGGATCCTCAGGTGATTCTAATCCATGGTTAGGGTTGAGACCCTCAAGTTAGGGAGTGGCTACTTGTCTGTCACTCCTGACAGGCTGCAGAGACTTTTCCTAGCTAGCTCCACTAGTAACTCTTACCAAGTGCATCTCAGATCTTAACATGATTCTAACACCATTTATAACTAGGAATATCAACAGGGGAAAGTCACTGGAGGGAAAAATAAACCCTCAGAGACCTAATTCCATCTGACCTTCTCCTCCGCTGGCCTTAATCAGGTAAGCCTCTGAGCCTGCCCACCTGTTTTTCTCTCTTCAGCATCAGTGGGAATAACTGTTGTCATCGGTGGAACTTACCAAGTTGGGTTTTGATCTCTTCTAAGTGAAATGGAATCATATTGGTGATAATGGAATTCATTCATCTCTTTCCAAATTTTCTAAAAAGTACACTTTATTAAATGTGAGATGTTTACTGGCAACTGAAACATGGGCCAGAGAAAAGTCATTGCCTCCCAAATGGTTGGACTCCCCACAGTTTCACTCATGAATATAATTATCAAGTCCAGGAATTGCAGGGTTTGCTTGCATTTTAGTCTTTAAGCTAAGAACTAAATTTCCAGGCAAACGTGTCTTGGTTGGTTGGGGAGAGCAGTCTTAAATGAAGAGTAGCCTTCAAACTACTCCATGTCTTTTTTTCAATTTTCCTCAAAGGAAAAGACTCACTTTCCAGCTGTAGAAAAATGTTTCCTTTCTCCCGCTTTGTGGTGTCCAAACTGTTGGAAGAAAGAATGAGTCATCTCTCACGGTGACTCGAAGACTGACATCTCAAAGGCTGGCAGTTGTGGTGTCACTCAAAACCAGGAAGGAATCATCTCTTCCTCATAACTCTTCCTTCTCCTCCTCTGCACAGATGCAAGCTGCCCGCTGACTATTCATAAAGGGGCGGCAGCCCAAGGTCCACACGGTGTTGAACACAGTGTCAACCAGGGAATCACAGGCTACTTGAAAAAGATAGAAGAGGGACAGAAAGGTTAATATTGAGTAATTTTCAAGAGTCACTGTATTTCCAGGGATGACATGATACCTAGAGGAAAGCAGAGACAGTAATCCAAATATAGAAACCAAAGGAAGAGCATACATTTCAGAGAACGTTTTCAGAAAAGCTCCCATTCAATCCAATAAAGCAGAAAACACCTGGAGGTGCCCTTGCTTGTGGGCCCCTGCTCAAAACAGTGGTGAGCAATCAGCACTCCTACACCCCATGCTTACTCCATGGAGAATATTTTTTGCAGAAGACTCCCTCACATGACATATCTATGTTTTCCATAGCTTTCCCGTCTGTGGCCATACCACCTGGAACACGCCCAATCTTGCCTATAGCTTTCCCTGTTCAAGTATTGGATGAACAACCGTTCATTGATGGAAAAACATTTGCATGTGTTGGATACGTTGGTTAGCCACTGTCTTAGGAGCCAACGATATGGAGACAAAAGACATCATCCTCAATTCAAGGACTCCACAGTTCGGATAAAGAGGTGGACAGGTAAACAGATAGCTACACTACCTCATGATGAAAGTAAGTCCAAGGTTAGGTATGGGAGCCCACAGAAAGGGTGTCTATCCCTTTGCAGCAAGGGTCATTAGGGGAGGTATCTTAGAGGAAGTAAGATATATAAGTTTAAACTTTAAGAATGGTCAGGAAAATTAAGTATTGATGCATACTAAGACATGGATGAATTTTGAAAACACTATGCTAAGCAAAAGAAACCAGACACAAAAGGCCATATAGTGTATGATTCCATTTATATATTTCCAGAATAGGCAATCCATATAGAGAGTAAAATAGTGGTTGTTTAGGGCTAGGGTTGGGTAGGGGAGGTAATGAGTAGTGACTGCTAATGGCTACAGGGTTTCTTTCGGGACTAATGAAAATGTTCTGGAATTAGATTGTGGTGATGGTTGCACAACTCTGTGAATATACAAAAACCACTGAAGTGTATACTTTTAAAGGGTAAATTTTATGGTATGTAAATGATATATCAATTTTTTAATTTTTTTAAAACATTGAATACTTGCATCCTCTGAGACTATTAAGGAACATTAATCTCTACCATTCAACCCAGCTGTGATATTAATTCTGATTTACTACCTTGGCCCTAGAGCAGTTTTATGGTCTTTGCAACTATTATAACCTTTAGTCTTCAGAACAGGAAGCAAAATGAAATACATCAATTTGCAAAGTTGGTTCATTGAAAAGATCAAAGATGTTGACAAACTTTCAGCTAGACTTACCAAGAAAAAAGAGAGGACTCAAATTACCGAATTCAGGAATGAGAGAGAAATGTCACTAATGATCTTACGGAAATAAAAAGGATTATAAGGAAATACTATGAACAACTGCATGCCAAAAAGTCTTGATAACTTGGATGGAATGCACAAATTCGTAGAAAGACATGAACTGCTGAAACTGACTCAAGAAGAATAGAAAATATGAATAGGTTGCTAGTATATATAAATACAATTACTAACCCAAGCTTGTGATTTAGTAATTAAAAACTTCCCCAAAGAAATCCAATTCTATTTGGCTTTACTGGGGAATTTTACAAAACATTTAAAGAATTAATATAAATCCTTTCTAAACTTTTTTTAAAAATTAGGAGAGAAGGGATCATTGCCCAACTCATTTTATGAGGTCAGTATTACTCTCATACCAAAACCAAAGACATCGTAAAAATAACAAACTATAGACTAGTATCTCTTATAAT